TGTTTCCCTAGAAAGTACTTCCTGTCTAATTAGAAGACAAATCAGACATACAAATAAAGGTTGAGCCACAAAATAAGATTGAATGTCTGAACAACTGAATAACATTGGCCTATATTATAACTAGTATCAATACTGACCAAATTTTGTTACTTGGACCAAAAAACATGGGAAGCTGAACTATTCTATTTGAGGGGAAAGTGCTAAGTAATATAGTTTACAGTAGGTTGTTGGAATATTATGGTTGCAATAGTGGATTTTGGGAAGACTTGAAACAAATTACTTGTGTCCTCTAAATCAAAGAAAATAGAAAGGTTATCATCAGGATGAAATAATCACAGGCAATGGGAAAAATAAATGCACATGCATCTATAAAAGAGGGTCCAGGTAGCACAAATCGGTATAATATGAAACATCAGTACAAGTTTAAGTATCAGGTCCACAACTAAAATGTGTACAAAGAAATATAACAAAACTACCCTCAAAGGTTGTCAAGGTCCATTAGTTCTACATCCTGTAAAGAGGGTGGATCCTTTTGCCTCAGCTCCCCAAATGCTGCTAGCAATAAGTTACCATCCCCAACAAATTTACTGCCATATAATCAAAGTCCAGGCATAAGTAAACCATTATGGTCTGGTGAGTTTAGTAAACTCTCCCAGAGGTGATATGTATTTATTTGATACGTGTATTACATTTCAGTCTCGTAAGGTTCACAGGTATACTGTAAAGCTGTAAAATGCAGGAAAAGAGATGAATATCAAATAGCACTAAGAATGTATTCAAAATAATATTTGGGAATATTAATGATCCTCATGTGCATTACAGGAATGCTATTTCATGCAGGGTTTCCTCAGTCTGAGCCCATTTCTCTGGCTTTTCACCCAATGGAGAATTTGATTCCCTTTTGTCCCTCCCACTCAGTGCTTCCAGATTGCTTCAGAAGGCCCAGGCAGCCTGCTCAGCTGCAGGCAAACGGGGTTGGGTGTGCAGGGGCTATATATAGCTCCACCTTGGAGATGTGCACACACAAACACACATACAAATGTCCATGCTGGACCTGGCATGAATCAATGAGAAAAGGCTGCAGCTTTCCATCCTCCCTCTATCTCATCACCCTAGTTTTTCAGTAATTTTCAAAGCAGGGTGTCATCAGTCCCGGAGAGTGATGCTGCGTCTAATTTCTCTGCAGTTCTTCTGCCTACTGCTTGCAACAATCTGACTCCGGCAAGAACCGGCACCGGGCCAGCACCTACTTCCCAGATGCGGTCACCCAGGGAGGCTGCCTCGCAGCCGCTGCGAGCCCATCCGGGCAATTACTTGGCTCTCTGGGAATCCACCGAGAATAAACCCACCTTTTAGAAACTAGGCGGAGAAGGTGGTTCCCAGTGGGACAACCCCAGGCTAGGAGAGAAGAGGCAAAGCCTTCGCTGACTCTCCCCTCCTCAGTCTGCCGCAGAGGGGAGAAGGGCCCACGTGTGCTAGATAGAGACGTAATTAATCCGAACGTACCCCTAGAGTTGCAGGCTTTTTCCCCACCCCCACACCCCCACCCCCACTCCCGAAGGAAGCCAGCTTTTAACCCAGAGGCCAGGGAACTAGCAAGTCCCTTCTTCCCCGCAGCGGAATCATTCCCAGTTCGCTCCCCACCCCATTCCACCCCCCCAGGTTGTGCTCGAGTCTAGATCCAAGGTTGGAGAGGGAGAACCAGTGAGTAGGCGCGGACAGGCGTGGGGAAGAGGACAAGCTCTTCTCCATAGGAAGACCCTCGGGTTCCCGCTGCTGACACGTCTGCTCCCCCAGCCCCTTCCCTGCCGGGTCGACATGGCATCCCTAGGACGCGACACCGGCGGTGGCAGACGAAGCCAGAGAGGAAAGTTGACCAGGCACAGGTGGGGGCTCGGCCCCCTCTCCTTAGGCACTGCCGCCCTGCCCCGCCCGTGACCCCGGGCTCCCGCATCCCGCACGCCTTCCCAGCACCCAG